GCAATTCTCATGCCTCAGCCTCCCAAGTAGCTGGGACTACAGGCACATGCCACTACATCTGGCTAATTTTGTATTTTTAGTAGAGATGGAGTTTCATCATGTTGGCCAGGCTGGTCTCAAACTCCTGACCTCAGGTGATCCACTCGCCTTGGTCTCCCAAAGTATTGGATTATAGGTGTGAGCCACCATGCTCGGCCTAGTAAAATTCTTATTTATTCTACATTGTCATAAGACGTTTTCATATTTGCTAGGCTTAGTGGTTTGGGGGGGCTTTCTCTCGGACTCCTTTTGGGAGTTCATCAAAGTCCCCCAATGAGCATTATTGGTCTCTCACCAGAGGTTCCTTCCATAACCCACAGGTTTTCCCTAGTTCTCTTCTGTTGGGGCTTTACTGTGCCTCCAGACATCCCTACTGGACATCATCTAAGAGGAACTTCTTACTGGCTTTCTCATATGTGCACAGTGTACTTCTGGTCCACAGGACACACTCAGGCAGTCTTGCATAAGCAGATTTGTGAGAGTAGTATGGACCCTATATATGAAACAGCAATTCTTTTTACTCTACCACCACAGAAACTCTCCCTTTTTCTGATCTTTGGGTTTCTCAGAGGGAGTCAGTTATCAGTGCACTATCTTCCTCAGACCTCTCTGAAAGGAGCCAGTCTATCTCTCCCCAACCACCTGATGAAAGAGTGAATAAAATCTTAATAAATCTTTCTCTAAAGTAGTCCTCTGCACAAATCTTGTGATGAGAACCCCCATTTAACAGCACCTCCTTGTGTCATAAGATACTCTATCCATCCTACCTCTTTATCATAATTTTCTGACATCAGAGAAAGAAAAAGAAAAGAAGTTTCTCAGCAAACAAGGCTCTGATAACAAAATGTGACAGTTCTTGCAAAGACACTATTTGCCTTTTGCTTAAAATACTAAGCTAACTCACCATTAGGGTGTGTAAAAAGATATTTGCAATTTTAAAATGCCAAGAAGACTGTTCTATATGTGTTTCTCTATTTCCTCTTTGGGCATGCAAACTAGTTGGAAAAAAAGATAGTCTTAAATTTCACTTTTTAGGCTATTATCTTTATGTCTATGTATTAGTCAGTTCTCACACTGCTATAAATATCTGACACTGGATAATTTATAAAGAAAAGAGGTTTAATTATGTCACGGTTCTGCAGGCTCTACAGGAAGCATGGTGCTAGGGAGGCCTCAGGAAACTTACAATCATGGCAGAAGGCAAAAGGGGAGCAGTACTTCACATGGCTGAAGAAGGAGCAAGGGGAGGTGACACACACTTCTAAACAACCAGATCTCATTAGAACTCAGTATCCAAAGACAACACCAGAAAGGATGGTGTTAAGCCATGAGAAACTGTCCTTGTGATCCGATCACCTTCCACTAGGCCCTACCTCCAACAATGGGGATTCCAACTCAACATGAGATTTAGGCAGGAACACACATCCAAACCATATCAGTCTCTAATAACTTTTTAATTCTTTAGTGAATTGTGTATTCTCATTATCACCTGATCTGTCTTCCTTGACAGTGTGACAACTCACTTTGAAATTTGACATCTATGATTTTTCTGCCTCAGCCATAGCTAGGGAGGAAAAATTCAGTTTTAACATTGTATTACAGCAATTAATGAAGTTGTTTTATTGAATTCATTTTACAAAAAGTTTCTCCTACCACCTCCTATCCCTTTCTAGGATTTTTGTGTAGGAACTATGGCAGCCTTATATTTTGATTTTATATTCTCCAAAATATCAGGGTACAATTTTTGCTTCCAAACCATTAGAAAGGCAAATTTCGAATCCTTGCATTTCACAAGGTAAATAGTAAATAGATTCTTTTAACTTTATGTTTTTAATGTAAACTAAGGCCAAAAAAAGAATACTATGGCAGAACTGAATTCTCTCTCCTCTTAGGCTGAAACTCTAGCTGTCTATTCTATTTAGACCAGAGAAAATATACAAGGCTTTGTGTCCAGATCCCTACAAGCCATCTAACCAGGAGGCCACAAGTTCATCCTACCTTCCATTTCTGGTTTCAGGCCCTGAAGAGTATAGAAAAAAATCCTGCTTTTCCTGGGGTTTTAAATGGTGGCAGAAGCAAGGCTCATGGTAATAAGACAGATCAAAAAGTTATTTACTTTATGCCTCAGGTGGTAAAAACACAATTAGCATCTATCAAATGCATTTCAAACTCAAACAGTACTTAAACAACAGTTAAATAAAAGTAGGCTCAGTAAGATCAAGGAGTCATTATCTTTGTTAGTTAAAGAGATATGTATCAGTCACAAAATCAGCAGGAAATAAACAAAATTCATTCAGAATAACTTAAAGTGAGAAATGCCAGTGAAAAGCGAATTATAGAATAATGGACATGGTTTAGGAAACAAACAAGTTTTGCTAGTTCATTCTCACACTGCTATAAATAAATACCTGAGACTGGGTAACTTACAAAGAAAAGAGGTTTAACTGGTTCACAGTTTTGCAGGCTATGCAGGAGACATAGCAACTTCTGCTTCTGGGAGGCCTCAGGAAGCTTTCAATCATGGCGGAAGGCAAAGAGGGAACAAGACACTTCACATGGTTGGAGTAAGGGGAAGATGTAATCCATTGGAAATTACATTTCAACATGAGATCTGGATGGGGACAGAGATCCAAACCATATCACAAGGGATGCTGAGATACCTGGAGACTGGTGATAGTGAGAAACTATTACTATTCCAGAGGCCAAAGTGGGAGGAAGAAACATTGTCATAGCAGAAGATCTCCTCCAACTCTACATTCTCCTTCTAGTAACTCATTTTGTGAGCCCAACCCCAAGTCAGCTCATAAGAGAACCTGCTGATACAGTCCATTTCAGTCAACACCCTAAAGCATGAAGAAAAGCACAAAACAATGGGCAACAGAACTAGAGATTAAGAGGACAGTGAAAATAATGAGCACAATTTTCCAGTCAAAATATATCACCTAAAAATGATACGTCATATTCTCTGTCTTTGGGGAAAAAATCCATTTGTGAACAGACATGAGAGCAATTGGAAAGATGAGAGATTAAAAAAAAAAGAGTCCCTGAATAGCCAGTAAGCTCCAAAATATACTTTGACTCAGACACAACCTGAAATTCTATTGCTGGCCATTGCACAGGAGACCTGAAGTGGAGGATGGAGGGGCACATCCTAGGAGAAGTACATGTTTGGTAGAATGGGGAGAAAACATCCCCAAGAAATACCCCAAAATTGTCGACTAGCATCCTTTCAGAAAACTGTATGTAATGATATTAACAGCAGTCCAGGATGGAGTACCTAATAAAACCCCTATCATGACCACATTGAGCCTCTGTTGCAAGCGCCTTACTTTGTTATGGTGGCTGTTGGCTAACTCAGGTCCAAATCCACCATTCTACAGACTCTGCTTTTGATCATAAGCCTGCAACTCATGAATCAGAATCACCATTTGGTTCCCTGCTATGTTCCATTAACTGGGGGAGGCTAGGACACTGGAAGCTGCTGTAGGGACAAGTATCTCTATCATGTTTGCTTATCGCACCTATCAGTGCAATCATAGCAATAGTTCTTTGCCCAGCTGCATTGGCTCCAGTTTCTAGTTTTATTTATTCTCCCACACCTCCAGCAATAATCTCATCATGCCCTCAGAAGAAATAGAACCAACCATCAGTGGGCTGTGTTCAGGGATCTGAGTCCTAACTCCATGAGAAGCCTTTCTCTGGTGTTCCTGAGGTAGGAGCTGTAGCTGGGAAGTCCTCTTTCCTCCAAGGTTAGATCTTGGCCTCACGTTCTCCATCCTTTGAGGTCCCAAGGTTCCAGAACCAGAGGAGCAGCACCCTCTTATTATAGGTCAGAATATAAGCTCTTGGGGGCACTCTCCACCAAAATTATAGTTTTTAATAAACCCAAACTTTTCTCTTTGTTCCCAAAGCCGTACGAGTAGAGGAAACTTCCGGTAAGCATTATCTCTGCATTATCCCTGTGTTCCCTTTTTCCCTTTCAGTTCTCTAATACCTGTTTATCCTGTTTTTTGTACTAAATGCTCCTCTGTTAGTCACCAGTGTGATTTATATTTTTCAGTCTAGAGCCTGACTAGCATATCCACTTCAACTTTCCTTGAGGATAAGGTCCAAGCATAACATTATAAATCCCACCAGATTAAAATATTTTTGTATTTGCTTCTTGTTAATCTTGAGGTCTTAAAGCAAATAAACTTATTTGAAGATGGTATTTTCCAAAAGCAGGAACATGCTGTTAAGCAATAAGCATGACATTACTTCTTCTGAAGAAACTATACAGATTGGAGTTGAATTAAGCATAGTTATATTTCACAGAATGCTTATGCTAGACATCTCCCCTGAAGAGCTGGAAGAAAGTATGAATATTTGACCAAATACAGTTAGGTTACTGACAAGGCAATAAAATATTTATTTATTATACTAGCTGTTAAATGTGGAGGTCAAGGAGGCCATATGCAAAGGAAAGTAAAAATATTTGGTACAATTAAGTAACCATGGGCACAGCAAGTTGTCTACAGTAAATTTTGTTTATAAGATTTAGTAATTTTAAATTGTTAACTCACTTTTTATTCCCATTTGAGAGCAGGGTAATGTTATTTATCTCTTTAAAGGAGAAGTTTAAATAATAAGTAGATAAATTCTCTTTTTCCATTTTTTTAAACAAAATAATTTCACATTTGAAAACTAAGTTGGGTCATTGTTTAACAAAGTATTTGAAAATGATACATCTCAAATGCGAAAATGTTCTTCTTATCATCATGACTATCAAAGGAAAAGAATTACATCCTTGAGAATCTTCAGCTCATATTAATCTCTCTTAGTTCACAGCCTTCTTACTGCAAATGAAAGTTGTATGTTGGGAAACTTTAAACACAAGCATGAGTCTAAACATATTAACCTCTTTGAATGGCATTTCACTCAACTATAAAATGACAAAGACTAGAAAAGACTGAAACATTCATCTAGTTATTTGCCATGCTAGAATGGAGAACTTTCAGCACAGCTTGGCGTATCTGTTTGGTCTTCACACTATAGATGATAGGGTTCATTACAGGAGGTATTAGTAGGTAGGCATTGGCAATCAGAGTATGCACATAGGGTGGGGCCCGCTTCCCAAACCTGTGAACAAAGGACAGACTGATCAATGGCATGTAAAATACAGCAACAGCCCCAATATGGGAGATACATATGCTGAAGGCTTTCTTCCTTTCTTCTGGGAAAGCAATGCTGAGAACAGTCTTAATGATCAAAATATAAGAAAGAACAATAAAGATGGAATCCACCCCAGCAGTGGTAATTAGAGCAGTCAGTCCAACTGCACTGTTGATCCTGGTGTCTGTGCACGAGAGCTTCATCACATCAGGGTGGAAGCAGTAGGAGTGGTGGAGCACATGGCTGTGGCAGTAGGACAGTCTTGTAAGAAGCACCACCATAGGAGTCAGTGTTAGTGTTCCCCTGGTGATAATTGCTACTCCAATCTGTGCTATTTTAAGATCAGTTAAGACAGAAGAATATCTAAGAGGATTAGTAATGGCCACAAAATGATCAAAAGCCATGGCCAACAGCACTGAGTATTCCATGACAGTAAACAATTGAATAAAGAACATCTGGGACAAGCAGGCATTAAAGCTGATTTCCCTCACATTGAACCAGAATATACCCAGCATGGTGATCAGAGTGGATATGGACAGGCCAAGGTCTGTGGTGGACAGCATGGAGAGGAAATAGTACATGGGTTCGTGCAGGCTGGGCTGAGTGATGATGATGAAGAGGATCAGGCTGTTTCCTGAGAGGGCAGTTACATAGAAGAAGCAGAAGGGAATGGAGATCCAGGTGTGGAAGGCTTCCAGCCCAGGAACACCAGTGAGCAGGAAAATGATGGAAGTGGAGGTGATATTCTGAAAAGCTGACATGCTGAACTCAAAAGGCAGAATCTTAAGCTGAGTGTCTGGCAATGATAAACTGTATTTATTTATTATATATTCAACCTGAAATTATTCCACCAAGTAAACATTTACAAAAGATAATGTCTATATTATATAGAAATCTTATAAAGATTGGTTAATGTCAACAACAAACTAAGGCCACGTCAAACATAGGAGCAGAAAACAGAAAATGAACAGTTTCCTAAGGATACAGAATTTCTACAAAAACAAAGACAGCAGCATTCCATCTTATTTAAGTTTGCATGTCTCATAAGTGACTTCAAGTGGTAGGTAATCAGCAAATATTTGTTGAAGTGTGTTCAAAGCATTGTATGATATTTTAGACAAATAGTAAACATATATGCAGTGATTCTGATACAGTAACTGAATTGCATTAGCTTTTAGAGGCCTGTCCAAATATATATATATATTCTCTTCATCTCCTGCTACTTTCTTTCAATCAAAATCGGATCCAATATCTCCAATCAATAGCCAACATTTTTTGATCCCCTACTATCTATTAGCAGTATGATAATACCCTGGATAAGCATACAGTCTATTTGCAAAAGCAAAACTTAAACTGTACCTATGAAATTTTCATACCACATAGCAAGTGTGAGTTAGATACAAAAAAAGTATGCTTATGTATAAACAGGAATTAAAGGGCCTCCAATATAAAAGTACTATGAATCATTTGATGTTATTAATTTTTTTTTTTTTTTTTTTGAGACAGAGTTTCACTCTTGTTACCCAGACTGGAGTGCAATGGCGTGATCTCGGCTCACCGCAACCTCCGCCTCCTGGGTTCAGGCAATTCTCCTGCCTCAGCCTCCTGAGTAGCTGGGATTACAGGCACACACCACCATGCTGAGCTAATTTTTTGTATTTTTAGTAGAGACGGGGTTTCACTATGTTGACCAGGATGGTCTCGATCTCTTGACCTCGTGATCCACCCACCTCGGCCTCCCAAAGTGCTGGGATTACAGGCTGTGAGCCACCACACCTGGCCGATGTTATTAATTTTTATTCTGCATCCCAGGTCAATTTTGTTTACAACTGTATGTTTTACATTTTAACTGGGTTAAAATGCTCTGGCATTTACAAGCTGGCTTAGCACATGGCGAATTACTAAATTGCATGTGCCTCATTTTCCCCATCTCTAAAGTAACAATGGTATGCATATCCGATAGGACTGTTGTGGAGATTAAATTAATTATGTGAAAATGTCAGCAGAGTATCTCACTATGGTAAAAAACTTACCAAATGCTAGTCATTATCATTAAAGAGAAAAATTAAAATTAAAAAAGTATACACACATTGTTTTCCTACATCTATCCCCACCCCTTAGCCTCATTTATCTACTTGTCTCTTTATCTGATAATTGAGAAAAGAAAATTGGAATATTCTAAGTTTAATTTAGGCAATATCCACTTATCCACTGGTTACTATCTCTTTCTCATTTCATCTCTTCGTCCTCTACAACTATTTTTTCTCATCCTTTCTTCATCTTTCCAGGTTATAAAAAAGAGCTCTTACTCCTTTCTGGACAACCACCATTACCTAGTCTTTCAGTCTATCTTGGATATTAGTTTCACATCAAACATTACTGAGTGCAAGCTGCAATCCAGACTGAGATATAGAGCCAAGTGAAGTATTGCACCTGCCCCGAGGATCATTAGGAAATAATAAGATAGTTCAGAAAACAAATGTGCAAATAAACAAATAATGAGACTGTATTTAAAATACACACACACACACACACACACACACACGCACACGCACATATTAGAAAGTTGGAGGGGATGGAGTCAAACGGCTTCTCTAAGTAAAGAATTGTGGAGTAGAGGCTAAGTGAAAATCATCATGAAAAGAAATTCTAAGCATATTCAAAAGCAATGGGATTTCAGATATTTTACAAATGCCACTAAAGTGTGAGATACAAAGTACCGAAAGGTAGTGTTACGGGGTAAGAGAGATCAAGTATCGGATTACCTTCTTCACTTCAAAAGGGTAAGAGATTTGTGCTATTCATACAATCTATATAAACATGTGATTTCTTCCTCAACCTAAGTATAATTAAAAACAACAAGAACAATGCTCTTTTTAACCTACATCCCTGCTGTGTGTATCTCCTTTTCTACATCAACTACTCCTAAAATGATTTGTCTATCCTCATTTTCCTCCCTCATGGTTCTTACTTTTATTTACAAAAGAAGGCATACATGAGGCCAACAAACATATGAAAAAACGTTCATCATCCCTGGTCATTAGAGAAATGCAAAACAAAACTACACTGAGAGATCATCTCACGCCAGTTCGAATGGCGATCATTAAAAAATCTGGAGACAACAGATGCTGGAGAGGATGTGGAGAAATAGGAACACTTTTACACTGTTGGTGGGAGTGTAAATCAGTTCAACCACTGTGGAAGACAGTGTGGCAATTCCTCAAGAACCTAGAAATAGAAATTCCATTTGATCCAGCAACCCCATTACTGGGTATACATCCAAAGGGTTATAAATCGTTCTACTATAAGGACACATGCGCACGAATGTTCATTGCAGCACTGTTTACAATAGCAAAGACCTGGAACCAACCCAAATGCCCATCGATGATAGACTGGACAGGGAAAATGTGGCACATATACACCACGGAATACTATGCAGCCATCAAAAACAATGAGTTCGTGTCCTTTGTAGGGACATGGATGAACCTGAAAACCATCATTCTCAGCAAACTGACACAAGAACAGAAAATCAAACACTGCATGTTCTCACTCATAGGCGGGTGTTGAACAATGAGAACACATGGAAACAGGGAGGGGAGCATCACACACTGGGGTTTGTAGCGGGGAAATAGGGGAGGGACAGCAGCGGTGGAGAGTTGGGGAGAGATAGCATGGGGAGAAATGCCAGATATAGGTGAAGGGGAGGAAGGCAGCAAATCACCCTGCCATGTGTGTACCTATGCAACAATCTTGCATGTTCTTCACAAGTACCCCAAAACCTAAAATGCAATTTAAAAAAAAGAAATCTGATTTCTGTTTTTGACCAAAACATACTTTGTTGCATTAGTTGTCTGTGGCAGCATAAGAAATTATTAAAAATTCAGTGGCTTTAAACAAGACACATATATCACCTCACAGTTCTGTAAGTCAGATGTCTAAGCACAGCAAAACTATGTGCACTACTCAGGATCTCACAAGGTTGAAGTTAAAGTTCCAACCAGTTCATGTTCTTAACTGGAGAGAAGGGTCCTTACAATCCTCACTCAGATTGCTATGGGAATTTAGTTATTTGTGGTATATGGCTGAGGTCTCCAACTTATTGCTGGGGCTCTTAACTTCTAGAGGCTACCCTCAGTCCCAGCCATGTGTTCTCACAACATGACATCTTAGGTCTTCAAGTCCACCAGGAGAACCTCCTTCGAGTTTCTTGTGTCTTTTAAAGACTCCTATAATTAGGTAAGTCCTAGCAAGATAATCTTCCTTTTGATTAACTCAAAGTCAAGTAACCAGGGACCTTAGTTACATCTGTGAAACCCTTTTGCCATATAATATAACGTAATCATGGAAGTCATACCCCAGCACATTCACAGGCCCCACTCACACACCCAAAGGATGGATATTGCTCAGGATAAGTACACCAGGATGGGCAGAAATCTTTAGGGTCCTTTTAGAATTCTACCAACCCCACCTGTCAAGGCTATCCAATCGCCAAATTTTTATAGGTTCAACTTCTGAAATGTCTCTTGATTGACCATATTTATCTTCCAGTTTCATCAGTGTCCTTCCTCCCTACTCTCAGAAACCTTTTTATATACCTATCTGGGTTTTTCCTTGCTTCATCAAACTACCAAATATAGCAAGCTCTTTCATAATAATGTGCTTGCTTAATTCATGTAGTTCTCTCTTTTTTTAGTAAGACCAAAATTTTTAGATCCACTACTTGAACCATGTATAAAGTCAACATGAATTTATTTCAGGAAGCATTTGGTGGCAATCAGCTAGTCTAAGTCAAGTCAGAAGAGCTTACTTCTTCCTCTGGAGTTATATTCTTTTATATTTATGCCTCTAGAATAGTGTTTATTCCATTATATGATTAAGGGTTATTTGAAAATATGTGTCTCTAACAAAATTAAGTTACTGTAAGGTAGATCATTGTTTTTTCATTATTATATTCCCGCTAGCTAGAAATATATTTTGAGAAGTGTGCACGTACAATATACACATGTTATAAATTCAACCCAAGAGTTGTTAACTGGCCAAGATTCTGAATATATCTCAGGACCTCAACACTTTCCATTTTGTCTATTTAAAACATACTGTGTTGCCTGAAATTGTGTGTGTGTGTGTGTGTGTGTGTGTGTGTGTGTGTGTGTGCATGTGAGAGAGAGAGAGAGAGAGAGAGAGAAAGAGGGAGAGAAAGAGAGAGAGAGAGAGAGAGAGAGGTTTGGAGTTTTACTGATGAAAGACTCTGTCCTAGTACTGGCGAATTAACTCATATGTGCTCTCCCATTTGTTGACAGTAATTCTCTTCCTCTTATATCAAGATAACACTCCAGACCCACTATAAGAACGTGTTTCAAGTTCTGTGCTGGGCTACCTTGACTTATCTCTCTTCTCTGATTACAGAGTCAGTGATATGGTTATGGGGTCATACAAACCTAGGTTCAAATTTTGTCTCTGTCACCAGCTAGTTGGAGTTCTCCAAATAAGCACTTTACATCAGGTTCCACTAATGTGAAACTGATAGTTCATCAGTAGCATTACTTTGTAAGGATTAAATGAGATAACATTGTAAAATATATAATATGCTGACCAGTGCCTGGGACGTGGAAGTCACTTGATAGTGGTAAATGAAGATGAGGATGAGGATAAGAATGGCAATGGCAGTGTGTGATGGTGGTAGTGGCAGTTGACCTTAGGACCTTCAGTGGCAGTTATAACATTTGATACAACTAACCAGAAAACTTAAAATTACATGGAC